GGAAACAAACCATTTCTTTGAAAGGTGGCATCTCTATAAGCTGAATGACAGTTACCAGAAATGACTAGGAAGGAAATGACTAGGAAGATTAACAATTGGAGAGGACTTTTGTCTAAATATAGATTTGTGGTAGTGTTTAATGTACATGCAGAATCCTTGGATGGGGTCCTGTATGTGATAATGACAAATGACCCAAAAAGCACCTCCATGCTTGGTCCCCAGTGCTAGTGCTCTGTTTTATGTATCGACACTGAACGTATGGAAAAGCTGGAGCTGCAAACTATTTCCTTCCCCTTTAGTGCATAAAGAGCACTAAAAGCCTCTGCTAGGTAATTCAGAATATTGGCCCACCTAAATCAGTACTGTCAATACCAAGGGTGGTGCTGGGGAACCTTTTTTTCAGAAGTCTGCTTTTGTTCAGGGGCAAATGGTTGAGATTCATATACTGGCATTAGGTCAGAGTAGGAAGGACCCAAGTATAAATACATACAAATGCACACTCCATTAACATGCATGCACATAGACATACAAAACAGTCATACACATGCAACATATAGTACACACATATGCACCACATTCATATACATGGGGGCACATGCATTCACATACATATGCCAAAATATATACTGTATAAATGTGCGGTGTGGTGTAGTGGGTTGAGTGTTGGACTACAACTCTGGAGATCAGAGTTTGATTCCTAGCTTGGCCATGAAACCCATTGGGTGACCTTGGGCAAGTCATACTCTCTCAGCATCAGAAGACGGCAATGGCAGTGGCCCACCTCCGAAGAAGCTTGCCAAGAAAACCCTATTATAGGTGCACCTTAGGGGGTCACCGTAAGTCAAAAATTACTTGGAGGCAATAGCAAACTCCTAGCTTATACATTCTTCCTCATTTATAACTTTTACTACCTTGACCTTACTCTGTTGTTACTTAGCTATGTGGCCTAGTTTTCGTCTGTGAAATGTTGGTAGGTATGAACCACTCCTGCACTAGGCCAAGAGTGAAGAAAATGTAGCCTGTGGGTCATGTGAGGTCTCAACCCCATTTTGTTCCTTCCACCAAGCATCTCATGGTACTCTTAATTCTGACAAACACCTCCATTTTTTAACACATTGGTGAAAATTATTTCCCTTCCCACAACTTCTACAACTCCCCCCCCCCCAAAATCAACAGAAATTAAATTTTAATCCCCACTGGAAATATGCTGAAATTTGTTTGACATTAAGTTTCACATTGGTGTCGTCTATCAAGCAGTCAGGGCAAAAATTGATTCAATTGCTTACTTTTCCTCCTAGGCCAAAATAGCTTTGGGAGCCTGAGACAATTAGGAGCAGATCAGACGTAGAGCATGGGAACATCATTTTTGGAGCTACAGCTCTCAGAATCTCATTGCTAGAGCAGGAGAGTGGTAGTCCAAAAAGGTAACTTTCCCAAGCTAAGAAAAGACAATTTCATTGCAGCAGAGTCTGAGGGTGCATCTACACTAGAAATAATTCATTTTGATACCATTTTAACTACCATACCTCCATGGATCCTACAGAATTCTGGGATCTGTAGTTTTGTGAGGCACCAGCACTCATTGGCAGATAAGGCTAGAAATCTTGTAAAACTGCAGCTCCCAGAATTTCATAGGATAGAGCTACAGCACTGAAAGTAGTGTCAAACTGCATTATTTCTATAGCATAGATGCACCCTAGCAGTTCTGTATTTTTCAGTTTTCATTGCATTCACAGTGATGCTTACTCTGGCTGAATTATGATCCAGGTGACATGACAGAAAAAGATTAAGGGTACCTGCTGTTAAACAAAGCACATGAACCACAGGCCTACCAGTTTGTTTATAGTTTTTTGGTTGTTGTTGCTTTTTAAGAGCAAGTCCTTGATTCTATGCCCTTATCAGCACTGATCTGCAGATAGTAGCAGATAATAATGCTGTGCAGTTTCATATGCTGGATCTTGTAAACAAGTTGTTTGGAAGTGGGCTGTCCTGGTCTGATGGCTCTCCTATCCAGGATTCAAAAGCTGATTCCATCTAATAATAAAAATAGATGCTACACAAATAGATTACCCATATAGAATCTGCAACAAAATGCTGGAGTGTAACATTTCACTGTTCACTATGCCAGCCATATCCATTCTGTCTCTTCCAACTTCTGTTGTTCCCCCTACCCTCGTCCAACATTCAGTGTGCCCAACATGGTCACTGACCATGTTCAACCTTTTTAGAGCTGTTTGGAGTTTTCCTCCCTTTAGGCTTCCCACTACAAAAGATTTAATTTACTTCTGCAAAATGTGGAGTTTCTACACTGTGATTACAATCCTGCAGGCACTCACCAGTTAACAGATGTGGAATTGTACAGGTGTACAATGGAAAACTTCCTCTGAACAAATCTTCCCAAGAAAACCACATGATAGATTCACCTAAAGGTTGCAGTAAGTCTGAAATGACTTGAAGGCACACCACATGCACACACACACACACACACAATGTTATTGCAGAGCTATTTACAAAATTCATTTTCAGTAAAAACTTCTGAAGACTCCTTTGCCCATTGGTACCTCATGAGTACATCATGAGTCAAGAAATCAAAGGAAAATTCAAACCAAGGACTGGAATGATCTATGAGAATAAAAATAACATAATTCAAGACCAGGAAGGAATAAAAAGACGTTGGATGCAATACAAAGAGGAATTGTACAAAAGAGATAACAAAATGAAGGACACATGGAATGAAGAGCCATATGAAGATGAACCCCAAATCCTAAAAAGTGAGATGGAAACTGCAATAAGAGAAATTGTGAAAAACAAATCACCAGGAACAGATGATATTCCAATTGAACTGCTGCAATCCACACTGACAGAGTCAATTTTAGTGCTAACCAACATATGTCAACAGATATGGAAAATGAAACTATGGCCAACAGATTGGAAGTGATCAATATACATCCCCATCCACAAAAAGGGAGACACAAGAGACTGGATCAACTATAGGAACATAGCACTGATCTCCCACACAAGAAAAATTATGCTCAAAATTCTGCAACATAGATCCCAACCATACATGGAAAGTGAGATCCTAGAGGTCCAAGCAGGGTTCAGGAAAAAAAGAGGCACTAGGGATCACATTGCAAACATACGATAGCTAATGGAGCACACCAGGGAATTCCAAAAGAAAATCAGCATGTGCTTTATAGACTATAGCAAAGTCTTTGACTGCATAAACCATGAAAGGCTGTGGGATGCCCTTAAAGACATGGGAGTGCCAGCACATCTGATAGTCCTGATGAGGAATCTATACTAAAGACAAAAGGCTACTGTCAGAACAGAACTCAGAGAAACAGAATGGTTCCCAATTGGCAAAGGGGTAAGACAAGGCTGCATCCTTTCACTCCATCTGTTCAACTTGTATGCAGAACATATTATAAGAAAAGCAGATTTGGACACAGAAGAAGGGGGAGTGAAAATAGGAGGAAGGAATATCAAAAATCTGAGATGTGTAGATGACACCATAATACTAGCAGAAAACCTCACAAACCTGGAACACTTACTATGGAAGAACACTTACTATGGAAAGAAGAAAGTGCAAAGGCAGACTTAATGTTGAATGTAAAGAAAAGAAAAATAATGATCACCGAGGACCTTCACAAGTTCAACCTAGACAATGAAGAAATAGAAATAGTAAAAGAATTCCCATATCTGGGATCAAACATTGATAGAAATGGGAACTGCAATCAGAAATCAGAAGTAGACTAGGAATGGGGAGGGTGGCTATGAAAGAACTAGAAAAGATTCCAAAATGCAAATATATACAACTCAGCACAAAAGTTAGAATCATACTGGCCATTGTAGTCTCTATTACCATGTATGGATGTGAGAGCTAGACAGTTAAGAAAGACGATGGGAAGAAAATGAATTCCTTTGAGATGTGGTGCTGGAAAAGAGTACTGAGGATCCCATGGACAGCCAAAAGGACAAACAAATGAGTCCTAGAGCAGATCAAGCCGGAAACCTCCCTGGAAGCCAAGAAGACCAAACTGAGGCTGTCATACTTTGGACATATCATGAGAAGAGAGAACTTTTTGGAAAAAATAATGCTGGAGAAGATGGAGGGAAGTAGGAAGAGAAGAAGGCCACATGCCAGATGGATGGACTCTGTTAAGAAGGACATGGGTTTTAAGGGGTTGCAGGAATTAAACAGAGCAGTAACGGATAGAGGGTCTTGGAGATGTCTCCTCCATAGGGTCGCCATGAGTCAAGATCTACTCAAGGGCAGTTAACAACAAAACAAACCTCATGAGATCACTTGACAAACCATATTATATAGGTTTGTTTGTTGCCCCAGTTTTACCACTGAAACAAAAAGTTTTGCTACATAGCTGATTTTGCTTTAACTGGCATGGCTCTATTGTAAGGAACCCTGGTCTTTGTAGTTTAGTGGCATACTTAAAATTGTGAAGTCGTAGGCTTTCATGGCCGACATCCATAGTTTTTTTGTGGTTTTTTTCGGGCTGTGTGGCCATGTTCTAGAAGAGTTTCTTTCTCTTTTTTCTCTGAAGATGCTAGCCACAGATGCTGGTGAAACGTCAGAAAGAAACTCTTCTAGAACATGGCCACACAGGCCGAAAAAACCCACAAAAAATACTTAAAATTGTCTGTTAGAGAGCTCAAGTACACTCCCTTGAACCACAGTTCCCAAGGCTATTTAAAGAAATACTGAAGATTAGATAAAATAGTTTGACATGTTTAAGGCACCAGATGATAGTGATGATCCTAATAAATAGCCATGTTCTGGCTTGGTGCCAGAAATACAGCAGTGATGGCAAGAAATATGATTCTACAGGTAGAGTATGCTATACTATTCCATACCATCTATGCTATCCACCATTATTGTGTGCTTTTAAATAATTTCTGACTTCTAGCAACCTAAGGCAAACCTATCATAGATTTTCTGGGGCTGAGAATGTGCAATTCACCCATGGTTACACAATGGGTTTCCATGTCTGAGCAGGGAATCGAATCCTGATCTCCAAAGTTATAGTCTAATGCTTGAAACCACTACACCACATTGGCTTTAGTAGTTTAATATCATTTTAACTGCCATTTCTATGCAATCCTGGAATCTGTCATTCAATGGGATACTTAGACCAGGACGCTACAGCAGCAAACTGCTTGCTCAACAGTCTTATTGTGCGAACAGATTAATCTTCTCTGTCCTTGCATGGGGAAACAGCAGCACCAGCTATGGGAAGAGGAAGCAGCAAACTCCAACACATCATTTTTTCTTGAAATCTTGGCTTCAAGGGATCCTCAGAGCCAAAGTTCTAGGGGGAGGCCCCAGTCTCCATGCTTCCTTGGTTCCAAAGACTCCTTCCACCACTGTCACCAGCTCCTTTCTCCTTTTTTTCTTTTTCTTTTTGGGGCCACTGCCTTCTCTTCCTCCTTCTGCTTAACTCCACTGGCAAGATATGATCTCAGCCTCTAAAGTCATTTTTAGAAAGCACTGGGCCACTCCATTACTGCACAAGAGATCTCTGTAGAGAAATCTAAATGCCTCAAACTACAAATCCCAGGATTTCATAGGATGGGGCCATGACAGTTGAAGAGGTATCAAACTGCTACAATTATGCATACCATCCAAAAACACACCAAGGATCAGTACCTGTGACCTATCATGGTAGAAAGATTTAAGAAAGGTTATCAAATTACCTACTCTCTACCTGCCTAACATAGCCAGGGATTAGTATACAGTTTCTCAAAACTTGACTAAGAAGACCAAAATTGTAAAACAGAGGCCTAAATAACATGAAGGCACCAGATTCCATGTGATCTTGGAAGCTAAGCAAGGTCAGATCTGGTTAGTACTTGGTAGGTAAACCTGGTAGGTGTCCATCGAATCTTTCTTTAAAGAACTTTGAAGGTGCTATCCTCTGAGGTGATCTGTTCTATTATTGAACAGCTATTACCATAAAGCAGTTCTTCTTAATGCTCTTCCAGACCTTTTGATAATGTTCATTGCTGTGCATCCAGCTATAGGAATTTAGTTTGATACCTCTATAGGATACTTAGTTGATACCTCTATAGGATACTTTGGGCCTTTACAGACTGCCAGAAATAGTGCAAATTGAGGCCACTTTAATTGTCCTGACTCAGTGCTAGGGAATCATGGGAACTGTATTTTTTTTCTGGGACATTGAGCCTTCTCTTCCAGAGAGCTCTGGTGCCACAATAAATTACAGTTCCCATGATTCCTTAGCACTGAACCAGGACAGTTAAAGTGACCATAATTTGCACTATTTCTGGCAGTAGCCCTTAAAATATTTGCTGGACAGCATATCACATTATTTCTGACCATTGGTTGTGCTAGCTAGGGCTGCTCAAAGTTAAAGTCCAACAACAGTATATTTTAATGTTCTAAGCCGCCCCAGTTGAGTTATGCAGAGGGGCAGGATAAAAATAAATTTTATCATCATCATCTGGAGGCCCACACATCCTTGATCCTGAGACAGACCCTTGGTATCATCCAATAGGATTGTTATGTATGTTACAGCTATGAGAAGGGAGGTTCTTCTAGTGCTGCAGATGAAATGTAAAACAAATGGAGTTCATCACTTCAAAACCTCATTGCTCAGCTTTTTAATAGAGGGGTAGCCCCAGCCTCAAAGCTGACTCACATAACCATATATACATATATGCACACAAGTCTTTGTTTCATTTCACACTTGAAGAAGTGCTGATATCTCTGATTATGGATCCTTAAGAGCCCCTGTCCTTTTCGCCAGGGAGCTCCTGTACTTTGGCGCATTATGACTTGGGACTCTTTCTAGCTCATGAGAGATGTACATTTTCAGCAGAAGGATATTTGAAGAGACATGCTCTCATCTGAATGTCAGACTTATTCTTGGACTGAGTTTCAGTCTCGGCTGGCTCCTCTGAGTTCTGCTACATTGACACTTGACTCTCTCCACCAGATCACATCACCTTTACAAACCAGGAAGTGGGATTAATGTGGTCTGGGGCTTTCTCATTGTTGGTCTTCTGAGCTCTAGTGATACTTGGGAGGGGAGACTCATCTCACTCAGAAACAAGTGAGCTGCTGCTTCCTGTGTTAAGGTAAGCACCCAGAATGAGTGATCATGAGTGTTTCTTTCACTTTTCACTCAGGACTCCAATGCTGTCAACTGTTTATTATATAGGGCTAGCATCCTGCAATCCCAGGCAGGATTCAAGACCAGCAATCCTAATCATGACATTGCCTGAATGGCCAGTGTCAATGTGGCAAAACCAACATGATTTGTGGCTCTAGAAGACAAAGAGGATTATGATGCAACCAGGTAACACGTACATTTATTTAAATTTTTCTGCCTGTAAGGATTGCTCAAAATGAAGAAAGAAGCTTTTGAAATGAACTTCCATTCTGATAGGCACTTGATGGCCAAGGAGCCTTGTGTATTTATTCTGGTGCAGCATAAGTGTGTTAGGATTTTCTAGTCTTGATCACAGCTAACTTTAACAAGTTTGGATTGAGTCCACTTTAAGGGTTAGGGTTAGGGTTAGGGAATCATGGGAACTGTATTTTATTGCGGCACCAGAGCTCTCTGACAGAGAAGGCTCAATGTCTCAGAAAAAAACAATTCCCATGACTCCTTAGCACTAACCCTAACCCTTAAAGTGGACTCAATTTGCACTATTTCTGGCAGTCTGCAAAGCCTGGCCTAGATAAGAGCTTTGAAAGATGGGGAAGGCTGCAAGGTAGGACTTCTCTTAAGTATTGTAGATAGATCATGTCAGGTTGGGTCACAGATTTCCTGTGGTGGTCTCATAGATATGGAAGTTTTTGCCATCAGTAAGGGAAAACAAAACAAAGCTGATGGCAAAAGAAAAATCTAAAATGATACGACTGAAAACTTCTGTGCAAGATAAATTGTTGTAGATAAAGCATATATAATCTGTATTACATCTGCAATGTGCAGATTCATTTACATAGTTCCTTGTCCTAATTTATCTTCACAAAAACTCTGACAGGTAATGGTGGACAGGTAGTGACTGGTCCAAGGTAACTGAGTAAGGGCCTTTGCAGACTGCCAGAAATAGTGCAAATTGAGTCCACTTTAACTGCCCTGGCTCAGTGCTAGGGAATCATGGAAACTGTAGTTTATTGTGGCACCAGAGCTCTCTGACAGAGAAGGCTCAATGTCCCAGAAAACAATACAATTCCCATGACTCCCTAGCACTAAGCCAGGGCAGTGCCTCAATTTAATGTGCACTATTTCTGGCAGTCTGCAAAGGCCCTAAGTTTTGCAGTTAAACAGAATTTGAACTTCAGTTTCCCTGTTCAAAGTGCTCTAAGCATTCCACTATGCTGGCTCACTCTAATCAATACTGTATAAATGCTGACATGGGTGAAACACTGTGGTATAGAATCATAGAAAGACAGAGTTGGAAGGGACCAAAAGGGCCATCCAGTCCAACTCCCTGCCATGCAGGAACTCAAAATCAAAGCATCCTCGACAGATGACCATCCAGCCTCTGTTTAAAGACTTCCAAAGAAGGAGACTCCGAGGGAATATGTTCCATTGTCGAACAGCTCTCATTGTCAGGAAGTTCCTTCTAAAGTTGAGGTGGAATCTCTTTTCCTGTAGCTTGCATCCGTTGTTCCGAGTCCTATTCTCTGGAGCAGCAGAAAACAAGCCTGCTCCCTACTCAATATGACATCCCTTCAAATATTTAAACAGAGCTATCATATCACCTCTTAACCATCTCTTCTCCAGGCTAAACACACTCAGTTCCCTAAGTCATTCCTCATAGGGTATGGTTTCCAGATCCTTCATCATTTTAGTTGCCCTCCTCTGGACACGCTCCAGTTTTTCAA